TGAATAATATTAGGTTGCATAAAAACATAAATTACAATTAATGATGATTAACAAATTGACTTCCTTTTTTGTACCACATATTACTAATTTGAAAATTTATCACATTTGGTTAGCACAACAAAGCAGCCAGTCAACTAAACATGGAGATGTATTTAATACTTGGAATTGTGGAAAAACTACCAAGACAAATTACTGGAAATATTTAAGCAAGTTTTTCAAAAAAAATCGTCCTAATTAATACTACCAAAATGGAGCATGTTTTGGGATCAATACTTTTTGCTGAAGGGCGTTATTTAGCAAATTTACGATTTTATTGACTTTAACATGAAGCGTTTAATACGAAAACTAGACCAATTTTGCAAGAAAAAAGTGTTCACTTCACTTCAAATTTTTAAAGATAACTTTGTATTAAGACAACAAATAAATAGGCATTTACCTAAACAAGAAAACAACAGTACAAGTTAAATAAAATCAATAATATAAATAAGCCAGTTAACATTTTTTTGTTTTAATACCTAAACAGCTCAGCAAGAAACGAAAAAATACTTTAGGGAAATAATCTCACTGCAATTTATGTTGTACTAGCTTAGTACCAATACACTACAAAATTCAACATAACAACACAACTCGACCTGAACTCACATTTACTAGTAAACAGCTACTCTTGTATTTGCACGTAATTAAGATTTTGATTACAAACTGTGGGGGCTTTTATTTTTTATTTTATTTTAAAGTACAAAAATACATTCCGTCCCGAAATGAATATCCCTACTTACAAAAAATAGAGTAAGTAATTTGATCTTCTTACATTATACCAGACTGGCTTCTTCGACGAGTATTAATTTTCAATTTAAAATGCGATTTTGGGTACGAGTGGACTAAAAAGTCGTACCGGATGTGCACCATTTTTTAAACTGGCTGACAGTAACATGAAATTTGATGATGCTACTTATTTTCAGTGGTGAACCCAAATTTTATTTTTGTATGTCACAAAAATATTAAAGATACAAGTATATCGAACCTAACTCAAATCGATTAATAGATTGCTAACAAAAAATTTAGTCCATATTCATTAACCAAAAGGCGCAAGTTGATAATAGACTTGGGGAATTATTTCGACGAACATCACTAACCGCGACGTAACTCAGTATTTATAAAGCTTTCTTGTACAATTAGAATCTCTGAACAATTTTTTTGCTACTATTATTAAATTTTGAGTACTTCTTTGAAGAAAAAAACCCAAATTCAAACTAATACATCAAAAGAATCTTTTAATTATGCGCAATCATTTGAAAATATTGCGTAATTTCCTAGGAGAAGTTATGACTCTGCGAATTTACAAAATTCTCCAGACAGTAACTAAATTAAAACTTTCTTGGACGACTAGTATCTCTAAATTTTGCAGCATTTGTTGAAAAATAGGATTCCTGATATGAAAACGGCTTTATTTAAATACAATACAATATACAAATAAAATAAATAAAAATATTCTATTAAGTTATCTCGTCCCCCTTCTTAGTTAAACAAATAGCTAATACTAATTTAATCAAATTTTACACGGAATAGGGCGGGTGTGTTTTTGCGCAAAATTTAGGAATTTAAATTAATAAACATTTTTTAAACTGTAATTTTCGTGTTTAGGACAAATACTTATTTTGTTTTGTAAATGATAAGTCATCAAGTTATTATAAATTAGAATTACAAATTATAAATCCGATTTTATCATTTGTATGAAAAGAAAATGTAAATTTCTGCCTATTACTTATAAATAAAATATAAATCAGTATTTTGGAATGGACTTGACTAAGTTGACAAGATTTAAGTTCCTTTCTTTTTGAGGATATAAACATATTGGTTAATTGTACATGTTTAGGTAAATACGTGTGTATTTTAAGTCTTTATTGAATACATTCTTCTATTTTAGAAGAGATATTTTCTCGGAGGTTTTTTAAGAAGTTAAATTATTATAAATGTTATTTTTTACAAATAGTTAGAGACAGCATTGCTTGATCATCAAGTGATCATTTTTTATCACGCCTTTGCCACTCTAGCTTAGATCGTTAATATCGAGTTCAACGGATTATAAACCCGGAGGAGAAAAGTTGCACAATGTTAGTTAAAAAATGTAGGAAATTGCGAATGTTATCAACAAATAAAAAATAAATAACAAAATTGATTGAGTGATTACGTTAAACTAAGTCAGGAATATTGTTGCAATACACTAGTGGTGTTTCCTGAGTAAAATATTGACATAACTCATTTTCGCAATCCCCGTAAAAGCTTGATGTGACGCTAGGTGCCAGTAAAGGCTTGTCACGAAGTCTGGGCGCTAACAATTCGGGTGCATCCTTTGGAAAGTGCAAATCTCTAATTAAATAATTTAATTTTCTGTGGTAAAACACTCTGAAATCTGTTGTGAAATCTGAGTCATCTGGGCCGGAATTAGATGCCTCTGATTCTGACGATATGACGTTTTCTATTTCTTTTGGAGAGGGAAGTTCATGGGTCCATGAGTAACTGGTCGAATAACAGAGTCAGTATGAAGAGCCCAGAACTTGTCTTGGTCGCCAATTTTTACGCCAAAATAAGCGTGGTATACATTTTTCAAAAAAGAAGTTATAGTTTGCCTTTGCTTTACTACGATATAACTGCCACAGATATAACAAAAGTTATTTGAATTGTTTACACAATGTCTTCTTTACATATTTATACGTTCTAAAACACTAGAAGTACACAACGACGACAGCCGCGAAACGCACTAGTACGACGACCAATACAACCAAACGCATCAGCAGGTTACAACGCTGTATTGACGCTTCTGCGCCAACTCTGTTGATTTGCAGAGAAATCTTATATTATCCGGTGTTGCCAAATCACATTTAATTGCATAAAAATCAATTCATTTAAAAATCATGCCTAACATGGAACAAACATATTCATGTCACAAGTGTGTATATTAATAAAATAACATTTTTAATATATAGAGCAACAATATGGCGTTTTTCGGAAAAAGGGCCCCCAAAAATATTCGAATAAGCAAACAGCTTTCAAACATCGAAATCACCATAGACCTGTGTAAACTCCAAACCATCAGCAAATCTATACGCACAGAAAACTCATTTAAATTAAGTAGACGCCTTCAACTGCAAACGTAATTTTAAAATTAATGACAACATTTATGCTTAAATGTGTTTTTAAATTGACCAGATTATAGCTAACGTAGTTGCTAATAAATTCTATAATCTTGACGCAAGAATAATCTGCGATGATCGCAACGCTAATTATAACTATATTTCATCTTGCCTCTTGCAGTTTTAGTAAACGTGCGTGTAATATCGCAGCAAGTGAACGACGCTAAAAGAGGTACCAGGGCTTTCAACATTGTCACAACGCGTCTTTTCAGAAGCCTTTATATTGTGTAGTTGTTTTCATAAAGCATGGTCGGGCTGATGCTATTTTTACAATTTAAGCAAGGTGGCATTTATAAAGTAAGGGTAAAAAAGGTTAATGTCAAAAAGAATTAAAATTACTATAAATCTAAAACATCAAAAACTCTTAAAGACACCAAAATCTTTTTTTACTGTTGATAAAGTGACGTGTTTGGCTCACATTAAAAACTACAGAATGAACTTCTGAAATAACCCGTTTTTTAATAAATTTTAACTTTCTTATATTGAGAATTTTATTACGATTCGGGTTATTCGGAAAAATTATTTATTTTTGTGAGTGTTATTGATTTTTTTTCTAATTTGCGTTTTAGCTTAACATTGTTCATCTAGTTGTCTTTGGAAACAAATACATAAAATACAACGTTGTTAGTATGGTTTTCCAAAATTCCTTCCCTATTTAAATTTACTTTTTCGTGAAATTAAAAATTACATAAACAGAAATGTCATAAGCTATATTCCGTTTTTTGATACACGGTGATTTTAAAAATTTTGCATTTATAGACACCGCTCGGTTATGCACACACTTATTCAAAATGTAAAAACTCGTCTAGATACAGTGGCGTGGTGAGTTTCCTTCTAAAACACGCAAATGTTGATATCTAAACTCAACTTATTTTTCTATGGAGCATTCCTATATGTCTCTGGGTATTTTTAATTTTTTTTTTGGGTTAGCAGAAGGGCGAAAGAGGCAGAAATTAAAACAATAATTACGAATTAGAAAAATGTTTATCGTTTTATGCATAAATTAAAAAAAAAATACATACATGACGATTTATTTTGTTTATCAAAATTTATGAGTTTCAGAAGAAAACTGACTATACCACTGGATCCTGCGTAAAAAAGCCTATCCAGACCAGCGTTCAATAAATCAAGGCATAATCCAACTACAAACCTAAAAATGCAACATTTCGAAAATCACCTTATATCTAAATATCTACGATTGCTATGGATTTCTGTTTGCGTCACCTTTTATTTCACAAAAAAAGTAGGGTCACAAAAATCGCAACACGTTAGCTTTTTTAATCAAATATACGGCGTAAAAGCATCAAAAACGTACATTTTTTTTCAATCAAAAACGACTTTAACGAAACATTAAGTATGATGTGAGTTTAAAAAGAATTTCATGCCATGTCTAGAAATAACGGCAACCTTAGGTCATATCTTGTGGCAATTACCAAGTTCAATCACATTAATATGGACATATAACGAACAATTTTATAAGTTTACAAGTCAAAGCTCTAGTCTAACAAACATACTAATCAAAGAAGAGATGTCTGCGCCACTGCAATACCGTGAAATTTTAGAAAATTACAATTATATATATAATTTAATTAAAAAGAAGGTCTGCAAGCAAAACTAACCCGCCTAATTTTTTTTATTTAAATGTTCTTCATATAGTTTCACTAAACTCGTTTTGTGGCATATTTTTTCTTTGGCCACTTTCGCACAAGCATTACCCGTTGGCTAATAACAAGGTAAGCTGGTTGAACAATGCTGATGTTCAGAAATTTCAGAATGTTTTTGCAATCTAATTTATAATTATTGACTTACCTTAATAGGGTGTAAATTTAAAAATGTGAACGACAGAGCTATCCCACGAAATAAAATTGTCCTGTTCAGGTGTTTCCAGGGTCTCGATCTTGAAAGTTTCATCTGCAAAATTGAATAAATTCAAATCTAAATAATGAATTATTATTCAAGTACGCATACACTTTACTAAAAATAGACAAAACCTGAGCTTCTTTAATTTAACAAGAGCGGAATTACTGTATTTTAGTGAGCTTTATGATAAACATTAAAAGCATAATGATAAATTGACCATTGTCATGTACGAATGTACGAAGGGTGATTTCATTATCTTTAAAGATAGAACAACGCCATTTTCGCAACAGTAAATTATTCGCTAGCCAATTTAGTTTTTCATATACAGATATTTGGCCAAGGTATTCGACACTATGTCGCATCATATCTTGCAGGAGAGATTTGAAGAGAAGAGGGCTAGTAAAAAAAAACTAAGTAAATCGTACCTACAAGAGAGCAAAAGGTAAAATTATTTGACTCCCTGAGCTGCTCTCTCTCCCGAGGGTATGGTGTGCCGCAGGACACGGTTCTGGGGCCAACCTTGTTTATATTATATATCAATGGAATCTTTTCTATTTTACAGAAGGAAGGTATTGTCTACTATGCGGATGATGGGGCATTGATTATTGTTGAAAACTTTAAAAGAAACTGTCGCAAATGCTGAAAAATTACTAAGTCAGGTAAAAAATGGCTAGATTATAGCCTGGTGTAACTTAATTTAGAGAAAACCCAATTCATTAGTTATTTCATGATGAAAGTTGGTGCTCCAGACTTGCTAAGAATAAAAATTAATAATTTTGACTGCTGCTTTTGACACTAATTGTTAATGCGATCTTTACATAAATTCCATCAAAGTTAAAATATTTAAGGGTGGTTTTTGATCACAACGTTAATGGTATGACTACGTCAATTATATCATTGTAAAAATTCGCAAGTTATTACATAAATTTTTTATATTACGTCAAAGTTTGTCAAAGAGTTCCCTTCTTAGGATATACAAATCTTTAGTAGAATCAATTTTAACTTATGGTATATGTATTTGGGTGCTCCAGTCGATAAGGCTCTTCCACCGCTACCAATTAGCCAGAAGCGTGTTTAGAAAATAATATTATTCAAATACAAACTATATCCTTCTAAAGAATTGTTTACTAAAGGGAAAGTAGTAAGTTTCAACAAAATATACATCAGTAAGAACCAGATTTGTTACAAATCAGACCATGCCAGTACCGATGGTAAAATTTGCTTCAGTACAAAGCAACCTTCTGTTTTCAGTCCCTAGAATATATAACGCCCTTCCAATCTATTTGCAAAATAGAGAATATACAAAAATTAAGAGGCTTGTTGACTTCTGGTAAAAAAGAGACTGGGAATCAAATGGAGCAATAACTAGTAAGGTAAGTTGCATTAGTCTGAACAAATGCACGTACAAATTTCTCAAATTCATTGTGCATTTGTTATATTATTTTGAATGTATTATTTAGTAATAATAATAATTATTATTACCCAAAAATTGTTCCAAATACAACTCTATCTTAGAATTTATTGTTTCTCTAAAAATAAACATAGAAGGGCACTGATAAAAAAAATTATCTCAAGTCTATAGAACGTTTTTCAAAAAGAAAGCAAAATAATGGAGAAAATACTTATGTAAATAAAACAAATTAAAAAATGTTAATTATTTGCAATATTCAGAAATTCATATTTTCAATATATCACTAAAGTAGATCCCCCTCTACAAGGAAATCAATTCCCAATTTACATTCAGGGTACAAGGTTTCAAAGATTTTTTTTTCAATTTATCATCCACCATTTCTAAAAAAATTAGCTGAAATTTTTGGAGTATTCCAAAACTTTTCAATAATTACATGGAGGTACATTTTTGAAGTTCTTACCGCAGACTTTTAGTTATCGAAGTGTAAGGTTTACTCTCTCGCGTTTTCGTTCAGAAATAGCCCGATTTTGAAATAATCCCGATTGCATGGACACGCCTTACGTTCGGAAACTATATGTTCTTTTTTAACAAAAGAAAAGAGATAAAAAACTTCAAACATACTTTTTACTATAAAATGTTTCTCTCAATTGGCAATGATTTTTCTGAGTACCAGTACGGTAACAATTGGAAAATGCCTCTTGATACAATTTTCTGACCAGATAGTGGTTTCCATATGCATAAACTGCATATTACACAATATGTTGCAATTCCTTTGATTTTTTACCATTTAATTGATGGCCATTATTACCGCCCCATTCAGCATAAGATTTATTTATTGTCCTATGTGGATAGCGCTTTCGGACCCGCCTTTACAACATTTTTTGATGAACATGCCCTTAAGTTGGGACCGAGTATTAGTGAATTACCCTGTACAACATTAAGAATAATAATGTAGAATTACGATTGTTCTAGAAATAAGTACCTCTAGTTGTAGCTGGGCTACTGGGGGTCATTTCATTTATTGATATCATGAGTAACTGTAAGGTATATTGTAAATAAAATAAGGCCTAGCAAGTTCAAGAATTCAAAAAAGTTCTTAATATACAAGGTAATATATTTAAAAGACGAAAGTTGTTCCTTGTTCACCAAAATATAAACACAGGTGACACAAGGACGTGGGAACACTATAACTTTTAAACGGATTGAGATAGCGATTTGAAATTTGGAAGGGCTGAATGTCCAAATATTTCATAATACGTAGTCAATGGTTGCACTTCCGCATAACCTATATTTTACAATAGTATATATTACAAAGTCAGCTTCATAAAGATTTAGATGAAGGTTATGGTTAAAAGAATGATAGCCGTGTTTTTTCAAAATTCTCCTCACAGATTCTCTTGAGATGCCTAATTCTAATGCAACTTCTCTTAGCGACGGAGCTAGATTTACATTTACATCCTACAACATTGATTTCCATTTCTTCATTTATACTAAAATTATTCTGACGATTATTTTGTTAATTTTTAAAATCCATAATCATGCCGACTTGATAAATGGAAGCAAAGCCACCTAAGTAATATTTTGATATTATAAAAATCTGGTTTATCTTGGTTATCTGATTTTTTCCGTCCTGTGAACTTATTTTTTAACGGATTTTAAAAATTTTGGTTTTAAAATCTTACAAAAAGAACCGCTTTTAAGTTTTTGTTTTGTTGTTTTTGTTCCCACTAGATTGCTATTTGAAAAACCAGGGTATCATAAAAAATATAGTTCAATACATTAAATGCTATTTGCCATTAGACAAGTAAAGAAAAGTGTCATTTACAACCTTTCTCATGATCAGGTGATCCAGTAAACAGTATTTATGATGGTCACACCCTCCCAGATACAATTTTCAAAATAAAAAAAGAGAAAAAAACGTCCTATGCTACGTTGAATGATCTCCTAAATCCAAAAAGCATAAAAATACAGGTTGTGCCATTTAAAATTAGGAAGTTATTGTCGTTTCCGCTCAGATCGGAAGTGCAACCATTCACTACATATTGTCAAAAAATTGGACATTCAGCCTATATTAACCCTTCCCAAGTTAAAATCGCTATCTTAAGCCATTTCAAAGTTATAGAGTGTTCCCACTTTGTTGTGCCATCCGCTATAGCAATATAATATTTTCAAAGTATCAGTGAATCCAAACAGTTTTTGTCTCTAGGTTTTTTGATATTTTTCACAAAGAGTTTGGTGACTTTGCGAGCCACGAAAGCTTGCGGGGGGAAGCTTCTAATAACTGCAGGAATATGTGATCTAGCATTGTGTTCAGATCTAAGTCTTAAAAGAGGTTCCTTACGTCAATGTTTATTTTATTCTCAATAAAACTTTATAGCTCCAGACTAAATAATTACTAAAACTAGTTTTTTTTGCGAGATTAAAAAGAGACTTATAGACTGGGACAAAACTGTTAAAGTTTACTTCTCAAGGCGATGGAAAACGTAAATGAACGTGCCCTAATAGAGCCAATAAATTTCGCTTCGTCACAAACTTCAACTTTAATGAATATATTTTTTTTTTCGCAACTTCAAATTTAAGATGATAACTCCTTTTTATATTGATCACATATTGTGGAGTATATAGACCACAGTATATCGGGAAATCACCAGAAATCAAAATATTAAACAAATTTTGAAAGTGACTATGACTATCTTGAACTGATAGTGATCACGAATGTTTTGATGTTTGTTGGACGGAAATGGATGTATTTAGTCAAAGTAAATTATGCCTTTTCTTACCTGATTTGCAATTTAAAAAATACATAAACCTCAAGAACATTACAAGCGTCCTGGCGCATGCACCATTTTGAAGGGTGTAATAAACAAGTTTTTAAAAATATGAATTTAAGCTCAGTGTAAAATAAGGAATAACCATATTCATGGTTACTTACTTATAACTTCCAGAAAATGTTTCAAAGTACTCGCGTTCCTCTCAGTGCAGGCAAAAATCAATTCCGGTACATGACAAAATTTTGTTAATAAGACCAAAGCTCTAAACAAGGGTTTAAAAAGTTCAATGTCATAGACTATATCAGCTGCCACAATATAATCTAATTGTCCAATCTTTTTACACCATTCACTATCCACTTCTTCCCATGGTAAATTCAAAACCCTAACTTCAGTATAATTTCCTACTATTTGATCTAATAAGCAGTTTTCAAATAGTTGACTGTTTACCACAAATGTTGATCCATTTCTCAACAAATTTAAATTAATATTATCACATAGTGCTTTCAGCACTGCTTTATGGCAATCGCTGAAATAGACTTTCTTTGGGAAACATTTTAGTATTAGCACCAATCCTGTAAGTCCAACACCTGAACCAAGCTCCAAAATATTTTTATTTTCAAGTGACAACTTATTTTTCAAACACCATTCTGATAGGGCCAATGATGCCTAAAAACAGAAAACTAAATATATTAATAGAAGAAAGCTGCGAGGCCTTTATTTGAATGATATTAAATGTAATAAAATCAGCAGAGAAAATATTTGTAAAAATACCTGCCACGTGCGTAATCCTGTAGTACCATCAGATATTAAATTGATGTTTTCTTTCAAACTTATTATATTGTTGACAGACCCAATCAGGTAATGTTTGAAATACTCATGTTGTGGTGGAGTTGAAACTAATCGACCGTAAGCTATATACAAGTCATCCAAAATTTCAACATTTTCATCTTCCAGTTTCTTTAAAAGAGATTTGAGAAAACCCTTTTGATATTCCACATTGATCGGTAATTCCAGAATTAAACTTGAATTTAGTGTCAAATTTAATAATTCCCGCTGATTCTGTAAAGACAGTTCCTGCAAATTTTTACGGTTGTGATTGACAAATACATTAATAATAATCGTGGTTATTCAGCAAGAAACTATTTATATAGCTTACTTGATCAATCCACACAAATTGTTTCAATGGAATCGCAGTCAAAAACTGTTTAACTATATTCAAAATGGTTTCTGATTGAACTACTTTTTGCATTCTATAACAGAATAGGGCATGTATAACCTATAATCAACAATTTGTACTGTCTACTTCTTTTTGATAATTAAAGCAGTTAACTAAATAGAACGAACAGTAAACAACTAATGAGAGGCATATTCTAAAATACTCTGCTATAACTTTTTTGATTTAAACTTTTGCTTTATAAAGTTTATGAAGTAAATTTGCATTTGAAATTCAAATATATTTATAATAGAAAGGTTTCTTCAATCACAGATCAAGAGAGTGAGAGATATTTTTCGCTCTCAGTTAGGCAAAACTGCTGTGGTCATTCGCTCATTTTCCGGCATTCGCTGAGGATTTATTTTTTGGTCACAGACCAACATTTATAACCTAAGGGGTGCCTTAATAAAAAGGGACTGGACCGATCCACCACCCTCCGAGGGAAACGGAAACAACAATTGTGAACACTATTAAAAATCTTTGACCGATAGGAAAAAACGGCCTCCCCGAAACCCCCGCAGACCAAATCCTAGATGTAAAAGCACAAAGAGGCGCCTCTTGTAGAAGTGATCATTACCTAGTAAAACGAAATATAACAGCACCAATAAAATCAAAAGAAATAGTCGACAGTATTAAAAGAGGAACAAAATAGGAAGAAAGATTTAATACAAACAGCTTGGACAATGAAAGTACAGGAATCTTATATAACACCAGACTGGACCAGAAGATACAGAAGAGTACAAATATATAAAAACATGTATACACTCTGCGGCAAAGGAGGCGCTAGGCTATAAAATGAAGGGAAACAACAAAAACGAAATAGAAGAAATACGAAAAAAATACCACAAATATTTAAGCTCAAAAAATGTAGATGACAAATTGAGATTCAAAGAATCACAAGCGAAAGTGCGAAGAAAGATTTGAGAAAAAAGAATAAGGACATGCGCAAGACTCAATATATACATAGGAGGAAGGAAAAGTACAAAAGTTCCGAGAAACATGAGAACAGAACGAAGAAGAGATGTAGTCTCATCAATATCACCCCAATAGAACCAGTACTTATGCTGACTGAAGATAGGCACAATTTAAAGATGAGCCAACCGTAGACTCAAATATTGTAATACAAGGATACCCAATAAGAATAACAGTAACAGGGGTCAAGGAAGCATATAAAGCACTTAAAAAAAGGCAGAGCCCCAGGACCAGGAAATATCCCGGGAGAAGTTATAAAATGCGGAAGTCAAAAAATGTATCATACATTGAAACATTTATTCCAAAAATGTCTTAACACATCAGCAGTACCCGAAGAATGGAAAATGTCATACTTGTCAATTATCCAAAAAAAATGAGAAGCAACTGTGAATAAAAAGACTAAGAATAGAATAGAAAGGCTGCTGATATGAAGGCTAAAGAACAAGCAGGCTTTAGAGTAGGAAAATCCATAATTGATCATCCTTTCTCACTAACACAACTCGTAGAAAAGAAGACAGCATTTAATCAAGAAGTTCATCTCTTACTTTTTACAAAACTTCTGGATTCTTCCTGCGTCGGTTTATGTTGAGTCGATCTTGCTAACGTTTCGCCAATCATCAGAGCTCTGAAGAGGTCGACCAGTCATAGCAGGAGGGGAGGGCAGCGACCCCTTCCGGGAAAGTCCATCCGAGGCTTTGGGTATATGAGAAGTACCTGAACAGTCGTTGGTCGGCTGAGGCCGGCCTAGCAAGCCCCCCCCCACCCCAACCCAAGAATATGGGAATACCAGAATACAGTTTACACTCTATCCTACGCGGATGATCAAGTCATTGCACAAGATATGAGTGACATCGAATACATGGCGCGAAAACTAATAAAGGAATATGACAAGTGGGGTATGGAAGACAACATCGACAAGATTGAATACATGTGCATTGGAGGACAACAACAAGATCTACGGCTGGCAACAGGGCATACCAACAAACACTGCAGTGGATACCAATATCTGGGAATGAAAATCGACAGAGGCGAAACTCTCGACGAAGCAAGAGCAGAGAGGAATGTCCAAGAAGGAAGAGAATGTATTCGTGTGGTTTTGATAAAATGCACCCAAAAGCTAATGGGAGGGGAGCGCGACATTTCTCTTTCTTTGACTTATCAACAACCGATGCAGAAGGAATCGAGAAGATTAGAGTACTTGGAAATCACATAAGAAATGGAATGTATAATACATGAAATCATGACATCAACGTATTAAGCTTCGTGCCATACATTGTTTACGTCTTATTTCGTAGCAGTCGTGTACTATGCGTTCTTTGAACTGCCCATTTTCATGTATTTTTAGTGTAAGTTCCTAATCTGTGGGTTATGCGCGGGAACAATTGGAATTGAAAAAAAGACTGCAAAGCAAAAATTTTCTTCTATCTCTAAACGAAGTAGATGCGAAAAACATGCACTCAATCAGGTTCGTTTAGAAAACCAACTATGGGAAGTAATCATTACATCAGTGTTCCGAAAGCCAAAAAAAAATGAAACCGAGTATTGAATTTGGCAAAACTAGCCAACCAAACACAAATTTATCATGCAAACTAACTACAACTAACGAAAGCTTACCAGGCTAGAATGTGTGTGTTGCTTTCTCCAAATAGCTTTTCTTTTTCATATTTAGTGATTTACATTATTTCCCAAATTTGTTATACCTTTATTAGCAAGTCCAACAAATATGTTTAGTTTAATTTTATCAATCACAAAACAGGTACAAAGTAGTATCAAAGTAGGACCACTGTAAGCCATTCGGATTTAGGTGCGTTCCTTGCTAACTCCTGTTCTGATCCAAATGCCCCAAGTTGCTTTGCGTAGGAAACGGAATGCTACGTCTATCCGCCGACAGCTGGCACTGTGAGTTTTGGTTTGTTGCATTGTACACTTTTATATTGCTTATATGTTGAAAATAAAAATGTTAGTCGAATAAAAATTGTTTTTTAACCACAGTACTAAGCCCACCTATTTATTACACTAAAAAATATTTCTGTAGATTCGAGGTATTCGGTATTCGTTTTTTTTTTTATTTATCGTTTAGCAATTCTTTAACAATTAAGTAAATCTTAAGTAGGATAGTGGTTTTATGAGAGCCTTGGATGTCCTTTTGGGAAATTGGAAACTCGATTGGCGAGAATTCTACAATGCGATATTGGGCAAACTGTATATCGTAAAGAACAGTTCTTTAGAGACAATTTGCATACCTTCCTCAATTGGTATTGAACTTATCGAATAAATAACAGATCCATTTTTTTTATTTAAAAAATGCCAAACCACATGCAGCTGCAGGGTCATCAGACTTATTTGAATATGCATGAGATGTGATAAGTAGAAGGTCGGGTCGGTTGCCACATCTTATAGGGGATATACAATCTGTATGTGATATGGTAAGAAAATCCTGTGAGAATCTGCCACCGGCAGATATCGATAATCTGATTAGCCGCATCTCATTTGCAGCATAACCCGAAGAATTAAAGAATATCAAAATTTAGGTGGCGAAGCAATTTACTATTGAATTGTAAAAAATTCTTCCCAAAACATGAATAAAACGCGTTTACGTTTACTGCAATTTATATGTCACACAATATTTTCTAAGAGCAAGGCGTCTGTGTTTTTAATAGATTGTGGTGTTGATTAACAATAATAATTAACTTAATTAATTAATAACTGAATATTTTTGAACTGTCCATAAATAAATATATAAATAAGACAAGTATCTGAGTTATCGTCCAACAGTTATTTCAAGCTAATACGATACATTTTGAGCAATCGCTACAGGATTTTTTATATAGTTGTTTCATTCCACCAATGAAACCTGTTGAAACTGTAGGTATATATAGGATGGCTTAAATTAGGTAAAAGTCGAGTCGTTTATAATATAATATTTTCCCTAAAAATGGTAATATTATATGGTTCCCAAATAATGGAATAAAGTAAATTTAAATCTCCGTTTTTAGTTTTTGTTTGTTACGCCTCTCATAATTGGAGATCAGTTTCTCCTGTCTCTGGAAGTGCCTTAAAACTTACACCTAATTTAACTTGTACATATAACAACTAACTTAAGTTTCGTCAGCAATTTAATTAAAAAAAAATACATTATCAAAAACTAGCTGCCAAAATTTAGTTATTCGACTCATCATAATGTTTAAAATAAAAGCTAGTTTTTTATATACTTAAATGTTTGGTCAAAATCAAGCATTTTTTATGGCATTTCCATCTTTAGCAGTTAGACAAGAAACAAAATTTCATTTAGAAATTTTTCTATAACGGATAAATACAATAGATAGAATTTTCAAAATCACATAAAAAATATTAAATGAAATTAAAAAATAGTATCTATCTAGCGTGCGTAAAATTGAATCTCAATTTTTTAAAAACTACTGGGTATATGAGGTTTAAAATTCAAAATTTACTGTCACTTCTGTCACTGTCACTTACTGTCAAAACAGCAGTGAAATCATATGGCTGAAAATGGAAAATTTTACCTATATTAAACCTTTTTTGTATCAAAATTAGTATATTATGCAACAAGTGCGGTAAACGACATAAACGAGTTAATAAAGTTTTTCTACTCCCGTCTGTAAAATACCTAAATTACCACGTCAGTTTCATTTTCCACGAATCCGATCCACTTCGGACATTTCCGGGATTTTACCGCACGAGTTTAGGAGCAATCGGATGTTTTCGGAGTTATTTCTCACGCTTTGAATGTTGACGTATGTCAATTCTGACAGTCATGTCAGTGAATGTATTCGTGTTGTTTTGCCAAAATGTACCCAAAAACTAACGGTCGTAGAAAAAGTATAGTATGCAACACGTTCGGTAAACTTTTTAACTCACTCGTTTATTAAACACTCGCTCGTGCCAAATAAACTCGTGAGTCAAATGCCGTTTACCGCAATTGTTGCATAATATACTATTACCCACTTCGGACATTTCCGGGATTTTACCGCACGAGTTTGGGAGCAATCGGATGTTTTCGGAGTTATTTCTCACGCTTTGAATGTTGACGTATGTCAATTCTGACAGTCATGTCAGTGAATGTACTCGTGTTGTTTTGCCAAAATGTACCCAAAAACTAACGGTCGTAGAAAAAGTATAGTATGCAACACGTTCGGTAAACTTTTTAACTCACTCGTTTATTAAACACTCGCTCGTGCCAAATAAACTCGTGAGTCAAATGCCGTTTACCGTAATTATTGCATAATATACTATTACCGAACGTGTTG